TTCGAAAGGGAGTAATTCTTGATCCTTCTCTTTAGGCAAATTTGTTAAGAGGGGTTAACTCACTCTAACCCTTGTAAAGGGTTTGTTAACCATTTGACCAAATTAATCCATTTTTATGGTTAAGAAGGAGTTAAACCCCCTTAATCCTTCTCTTAACCCCTTGCCAAATTGGGCCTTAGGGATATATTAAAGTTTTAGAGATATATATGTAAGTGGGTTTGGCCTCATGGACCAAATTGTTTCCCGACCCATTAAAGAACTCAACCCGTTTTGTTAGGAATATCCCATGTTCTGGGATTTCTTCCGTTGGAGAGAACGAGTCTTATGGAGAGTCGGTTTTAGAGAGATAATGGGTAGATTTTGGGGACGCAGTTGGAGAGGAAACACCCATAAATAAAGATGAGTTCTTCTCATCTTAATAGAACAATCTCCATCGGAGTTCCAAAAACAATCGCTCTCTTCCCCCTTTCATTGGTATCAGAGCTTCTACGATCCCAAAATCGCGTCTTCCCAGATCCCTTCTCTTCCTCCTCCCAGATCCCTATGCCTGCTGATCTGCTCCCACGACGACCGACCCACACACAACAGCCCGAAGCTCCGCCGAACCGCCGTCCTCCAATCTCCAAAATCGCCCAACTCGCCCGCCCTTCCACCAAACTGTCGTCGACCCGCGCCAGCTGCTGGCAAGCGCCCGCGCGCCAGCTCATCAATCGCCGTCTACCGGCGCACCTGTCGACCGCGCGCTGGCACTTCGAGCGACGACTCGCCTCTCAATTTTTCTCTCCACTTGCATGTAAGTATCAAATCTAAATCAGAGGTATCAATCTATTATGTTATCCCACTGATTTGAACTTATTGTGAAGATTTTATTTTTTGGTTTCAAAATTTGGGACTGTTTGAAAAGGAAAAAGGATTTTTTGTGTCTGTTAATTTGGGAAATATTTTAATATTTTAATTTTTATGATTTACGTGGTTATTAATCTGCTGATTTGTTGTAAGGCTAGTAGTGTTGTATAATTTGCTTGTATATTCATACAAGAACCTCAATTTGCAGATTACATCAAAGTGCTACAGTTAAAATTTCAATTTTTAATTAATCTCTGATTTAACCTTGATAATACTTATCATTATTTGCTAGTAGTCGTTTTAGTACCAATTAATTAAGTTAAGTTTTTTAGTAAGTTAGTTTTTTTAAGCATCAATTACTATTAATTTTATTGTTTTTTGAATTACTGGTCTTGGCATATTTTTTTAGTTGTTTAAGCGTCAATTAGTTTTATAATTACAGTACCACTTAAAAAAAATTCTTATAGTTGTCTTAGTATCATTTATTAAGTTAGTTTTTTTTTCAACCTAAATCAATTCCGTTTGAAATATCATACAACTTTATTATCGTCATGGCTAGTAAATTGATTGTATCTGAACTGGCAAAGATAGAACGCCTTAATGGTTCTAACTATGATATGTGGTATAGGAAGATTAAGTACGAACTTATCCATGACAATCTAGATAGTGTCCGAGATGTTTCTGCACCAACTCTTGGTGATGATCCTACTGACGCTCAGAAAAGAGAGCTTGATCAGTGACAACTTAAGGACAATAAAGCTAACAGCTTGATGTTAATATTCATGGAAGATAGTTTAATCAAAATATTTGAAAACTATAATACGGCTAAGGAAATGTGGCTTGCAGTTAAGGAGAAGTATGACACTACTTCTGAGGTGAACATACAACTCTTAATACATAGGTTCAATTCATGTCATATGCAAGAAGGTGACAATGTTACCGAACATGTGAACAAGATGATTGTCATGGCTAAGGACCTAGCTTCAGTAGGATCTTCTTGAGAAATTGCAGGTGGCAACTATTTTGAATAGCATGTCACCGTCACTAGATATGCCTGCCACAACACTTAGGCTTAATGGAACCATTAAACGTGTTACTGACCTGCCAGCTTAGCTAGCAATGGAACAAGATTTACTAGCTAGGCGGAAAGGTTCAGATGTGAGCCTTGTGTAGCAAGAAGAAGCAAATGCAGCTCAATATATATCTCAAGGCATAAGGAAGTCATCAATTTGGACCTGTCAAGCCTTCCTTCAAAGGACCCGACCAGCAACGTGCTCGTGGTAAGAAAGGACCTCCTGGATCATGCTATATCTATAGGAAGTTCAGCCACTTCAAAGCCAACTATCCACAGGCGAAGAATAAGGACGGTCCCAAACGCCCAGAACAAGGAGGATCCGGTAAGCGGGAGTTCATCGGCGTCATTGAGTGCAATGCTGCAACTACTGATGATGGTGGCTGGTGGATTGATTCGGGAGCTACCCGACATATTGTAAAGACGAAGGAAGAGATATGCGACTTCAAGGAGCTAAAGAAGGGAGATCAAAGGATTTACATGGGGAACAATACCTACCTAGATGTTGAAAGTATTGGTTCGTACAGATTGGATCTTGGGGACAGCATCATGGTTCTTAAGGAAGTGTTTTATGCACCTGGCATAAGACGTAATCTAATCTTCGTCCCAGCTCTCCTGAAGAAAGGCCTTGAAGTTAGGTTTTACAATAATAGGGTCTCTATTGGGAAAGACAAGAAAGTATTTGTTATGGGCAAGTTTGTACCCGAACATGATTTGTTCTGTCTTTCTGTTGTAAAACCTGAAATTTACAATAAGAATTCTGA